TGTGCCCACCCCCGGCCAGGCTGACTCCCGAGGTCCCCTCATTTCGGAATCGCCCTCGTGCCGGGTACCGGGAGTTTTCCGGAACCTTCCCTTTCGTTTGAAACCGAGCTTGAAAGGTACGGATTTAAGGACAGAGCGTTTGTGAGACAGCGACAAGTGCTGGGGCGAGGGGTTCCGAGGGGGCGGGACATTGAAGGGTGAACCATGAAATCTGCTGCTAGCAAAGGAAGTGCAGCTAATTAAAGCATCTGCAAAAATATTTAAATACATTGAATACACTGAAATAGATTCAGCGCTGTAGCATTGAGTCAGCACGTCCCGTGCCAAATTCAGTTCTGCTGTCTCTCAGTAAAGTGTAGAAAACCGGAAAACATTGCTTCCTTACGTTGGGACTAACACGCCTGTGTTTGAAAGCTTAGTGTTTGGCAATACCGCCTAATGCAAATTTTCTGTAACCACTAAGTCGCTAGTGGAGAAAATTATGGTCAACATCCCGGAAAGATTGTGTTGTCATAGTCTTCAGCATTTATTTTCAGTTCTTTCTTTTTATCCTTGCTGTCTGGTCACATCTATACCCTATATATGGTATATAGAAAAGTTTTTCAGGTAGTTATCAACTAAAAAAAACCCAACAAAACCAGCAGAGACCACCATAGGAGTAAGAATGTATTTGTGTCTGTTGCTTTCTTACAATATTTATATGTAAAGAAGCTAAACACCAGTAAGTAAAAGGTACTGGTCTAAGTAGAGATACGAATAAGGAACTTAAATACAGTAACCATCAGTTTGTACTATTGCTGTAACCTGTATTCCGAATGAGTCATTTTGAGATGACAGTCATACTGAACAATCCATTTCTGACGATATTCTTCACAGTGATTGCTCCAGATCAGTTCAGTTACAGCAAAGGATCCATGACGTGCAGTTGAAGACAGCACATGGATAACAACAATGAACATGAAAATGATAATCATTAAGTATACTGGAATCAAAGGGCGTGACAGAATTTTGGTAGGACAAAGGACTGAGTCCTGTAGCTAGCCCAGCGAGTGGGGAGGGAGAGAGTGGAAGCAGGTCACTGACTGCAAAGAAAGAGGTGGGGGACAGATGTTACAGCGGTGGAACCCTGAGGTTGATCTAAGAATTGATGGTCAAAGGTAGAATTTTAAATCTGTATTTACAAACTACTATAACTGCTTTAATTTAAAAAAGCCCTGAACATCCATACCACATACTGAAATTTGAAGTGGTGCACAAGGGAGTTTTACAAGAATAGTCCAGCTATACACAAAAAGGCATACAAATAACATTTTTGCTTCACAGATCTAGTTAACGTTTTGGGTCATCTCATGCATGGGATTGAGTTCCTATTTAACCATCTGTTGCACTATCTTATTCTACCTGTTTGACACATTAAACACAGTAAACCATAGCCTGATAGTCAACATAGCACATACCACAGACTAGGACGACAAGGGACTCTACAGTGCCAACCTTAATTTCTTCCTACCGGCAACACACATGCTGGAACATAGAACAGTCTCAGATTGATCTTACTCCTGATGTTTCTTGTCCTCAGGAAATATGTCTTCATATATTGCTAAAGAGAACAAATGCAGTCTAGAAACTCAGTAAAGAATGGGGAGAGAATTAGAACAAAAGACAGACTATGCATGCAGTACTGAATTATGCAAATTTTCCCTGCACTCAGAAAAACCTCAGATAAGACTGGAACAAATACAAGGGCGTGTGCATGTTTCCAGCTGCAAGTAATGAGATCGCTGGACCAGAAGTCTTGCCAACACTAGAAGAAAAATTAACCACTGCACTGGAGTAGGTGTTTTTATTTACTGATTTTCTGTAACTAAAAAAGAAAGCATGATGTCTAACTGCTTTATTAAGCTGCTATTAGGGGAGATGTGTGAAGCTGGTGATTGAATTCTGATATGAGGACATGTCTGTCTCTATGAAGAGAGTTTGAGAAATCATGATACTGTCTTGGAACGGAGGAAAAGTGATAGAGATGAAGAGGAATCAAATGTAGTACGTTGCTTGAAATTTCACAGAGTTTGAATATCTGGTACGTTTGTAATTACAAACAGGAAATGACTTTTTTCTATGTATAAGTTTTCCATTCCTGAGCAACATGATTGTACACGTCCCTCCAGGCCTCATGGAATAGCATAAATGCCATAAATAGCATAAATAAATAAATATTGCATAAATGCAATAACTAGTATAAATGCAATAGCATAAATTCACTTTAGAGTACCTCGAAGAGCTTTCTTCCCCCCTCACCCCTGTTTCCTACACGGGTAGGAATTATCAGATGGGCTGATGTGTCCTGATGAGACCCTGCTCTCACTCCAGAAGGCTCAGCCAGACGTGGAAATGAAGAAAACAGCCCTCTAGCAGTGGGCTGGTCAGAGCACACAGTTAAATTTCCCGCATCAGGGCTAGCGCCAGTCACGTTAGTCACAACCCAAGCCATCTGAGATAGAGTACTGCAGTTCCACTGCAAAGATTTCAAGTTACAAGTGAAAAATGGATTGTCTGGAGTAAAATGATCAGCAGTTGATGAGTTTTGAGTTTGAAATACGTAGTAAAGCTTCTTTTTCTTGTTAGTTAACATAAAGGTATGCTTGCTTAAATTAAAACAAAAATTGCAGTGAGAAATATATCTAGGCTGATATCTACCAGGTAACAGTTTATTTTTCTGCTTGCCATTTTGAAGTCTGTATAGTTCTTTTGATATTTTGACTCCGTTACACGGATGACTCAGACAGCAGGGCAGAAAAGCAATGTTTCCAGACAGTGGACAGCAAGGCTTAAATTCAATGCATTTTGAAAAGAGCACATCTGAATTATAACCTATTAAGAACATTGTGTGTGCACTGAGAAATGCATAGAAATAATTTGGCCACCGTGACAGCATAAGATGTTTTAAAGCTGAAAATATTGATTAAATTCCTCTTCACTGATTCTTTTTTCACTCCATGATTCTGTCTATGTTTGACATGCTCCAGAAGTTTTAAATTCAATTGCAATTAGAATTCTGTTTGGATTAGGATTGCTTCTCTTAAGATTATGTTCTTATATCAATTCTGACATTTCTTTTTCCCTCAAACTGCTGTGTTGATGTTTTAAAGCTGAAAATATTGATTAAATTCCTCTTCACTGATTCTTTTTTCACTCCATGATTCTGTCTATGTTTGACATGCTCCAGAAGTTTTAAATTCAATTGCAATTAGAATTCTGTTTGGATTAGGATTGCTTCTCTTAAGATTATGTTCTTATATCAATTCTGACATTTCTTTTTCCCTCAAACTGCTGTGTTGATGGGAAGAACAATAAGCAGGGTAGACAATATAATATATCCGTATCACTCAATATGTCATGTGCAATTCAATTAAATCTACTTTTGACTATTTTCTGTAGATTACATTAAAAATAGTCATAAGGTGAACCTCAGAGTCAGAAGCACTGGAGCCAAGGAACTTGCATTGAAGGAAGCCAGAGCTACAGAATTCTTGCCCAGCTCAGATTTTCCTCTTCGATGCCTTAATCTGAAAGGGTGGATACCTTGGAGCTGAAGAGTTAGCATGATTAGCATTAACATTCAGTCTGTGACAAATGTCTTCAGCCTGATTATCCATGACCCGCCTTCATTACATCTCGTAACTTCTATGAAATAACGGAAGTTTTATACAATGAGCCAAAGGCTTTGTTGGTTTCAGTAGAGCTATCTTGACTTAAACAGGCTAAAGACGCTGCTCTTTAAGCTCAGCAGAGTCTGTTGGAAGGAAATAGTCAGATGGTAACACTTTGGTGTGTTATTCCTTTGAAGAATACTGTAGTATTGCAGTTTTATTTCCCGTAGATACCAGATGAAACTGGGAAGTAGCACCACGGTGTGGTTAGGTACAAGGCTTATAATAACATACACAATCCTTTCCTTTCACAGGTGGCTCGTGTATCTGGAGAATTTGCTGAGACTAGAAATTACTATGCCAAATCCCTGTTGTGTGCTTTTCATTTCCTTGGGCAGTTTTGTAATAGTGACTGGCAGAATACATTACAAACAGACCTGGAAATAGAAAGTGTAGCAGAAACATTTTATTTCCTTTACAATTGTTTTCTGTCGTGTAATAAAAAAGAAGAACTATACAGAGTATTGCCCAGTTGACGCCTAATGGAAATTTAAGATAGGTGCCCAAGATAAGTGTGCTGAAGTACCTCTAGAACTGCTTCTTTCTCAACACTGACTATAGAGAGGAAATGGGATCACTAGGTCTGATGTAGACAACTAACCTTTACACAGTCAAGGTAAAGCAAAATTAATTTTGTCCTCACTATGCACTACAATGGACAAGGACATCTTACAGGTTTTTAGTAAACTTCCTTCCCTACGTTGTCTGGCACTGCTGGAATCCTGCTTTTTGGAAGTAGATTTTTGTCTATCCTTCTCCGACTAAAGGAAATGAATTCCCTCATCTGGAAATCAGGAAGATTGAGGGAGGGGGGCAGGAAATGAGGCTTCATTAACTCTGTTGCCAACACAACTACTTTCTTCCTGCCCCTACTTGCCTGTTACGTAAGTGCGTTTTTCCCTCCAGTGGTCCTTTCTGTCTACAGCTGCACCTGTGACGAAATCAAACTGTGCCCAGTAAAGAACAGCCTTGTAGACCTCTAATGGAAACTCACGTGTGCTTGGATGTGGCACGGGTGGCTCAATAAGTGGCAGTCCTTCCGCCTGCTTATTAATCAACCGATACATAGCCTGAATTGAGAGAATGTTGTTCTCATATCCAGGTAACAGATTTTTTTTAAGGTGGAAGCATTAGCCTGAACAGATTCCAAGTGGAATAATGGCACTGCGACTAGTTACACTTTACCTAATGGTTTTCTCTTCGGAGGAAATAAGATCGAAGTGGTGGCAAGAAAAGAGGTTGTGGAATAATCACTTCTATCTTGCACCTAATGAGTTTATTTTCAATATCATTAAGACTATTTTCAGATGTTTCTGGCAATACATTTCATCTCTCCATCTAGGGCTACAAAGAGGCCTTTGAGCTACAGACCTGGGAGTCTGCTCCTACAGTTTAACTTGCATGGCATTTAACTTGCCATGTTTAGCAGTTTGCTGCTTTTGTACAGGCTCCACAAAATTCACAAATTTTCCACTTGGGGACTAGTCTTACCCATTTATAAACATAGATACTAGTGACAGGATGTAGGTTTGGTAAAAGATCTGTATTATCTGTGTTCCACAAGAAATATGCTGAGCAACATTCACTCTGATGCGTGAGAATGATACTAGCTAACAGAGTTAATTGCTGTCAGTTATTGAAAGTCTTTGTGAAGCTCAGCTTATCTGACAGTGTATACTGAGCGTGTTCCTCCTTTCTTAATAATCTGTAGCTTACCAAAACTCCAGTAGTCTAAACAGGGATCATAAATTATGTCAAACAATTTAAAGCAGATGACCAACTGTAACAGAATGAAACAAGTCATGGAAGCTCCAAATCAATAGTATGGATCACCACAATTATTCAGTAACCAGTCTGCCTTCCAGAGTGCTAAGAGGTATGTAACATATCTGGTTTAGTTATTGTTATTAACTAGCAGCTGATTCACCAGCCACGTTGTTCTCCTTCAGAGAACAACAATTTCCAGGAAGGCAGAAGAGCAAATGCCTGAGGCAGTCACTGCTTCGGCCATCTCAATCTAATCTATTCCTATGTTTGTCAGCAGCCTCAGCTCCTCACGCAAGCCTGCTACAGTGCCTTGTCTCGATAGCTTGTGCTCTGCTATGGATGTACTGAAAACAGGGAAAAATGCAGTCTTCCTTGGTCTTTACAATACAGAAGAGTTATATTTCAAATTGCTAGTTACCTTCATAGAAAAGGTTTGTTGTACACATTGTCAATATGAGGATGTGTGAGCTACAGACGTAATACCCAGTCACTGACTGTCTCTGAAACTTTAAATGTTTCTCTAATCATCTAGCGCTGACTGCATTCATCTTGAGTACCCATAAGAAACAATGTTTTCCTGTGGTTAAGAGTATATGGACACAACATCTGTATAATGCACTAATGCTGTGAAATCTCCCTTGGCAGTCTTGTTACTCATCAGAGGTTCCTCAGTGCTAAGGTAGGGATATATAGGAGAATTAAGCCAAGGAGGAGTGTTATTTGTAGTACAATCCCAAATCTAAGCAAAGCCCCACTGAAGTTTGTGAGACTTTTGTCAAAGCAAGACCAAGTATCTCAGGGCCTAGTGGCAATTTTTGCTTCTTTTTTTCAAAATTCACCACATATCCATCATCAAAAAGCATTTTCCTCAGTTCATATGCAAAGATCCAGGTATGTGTATTTGCAGCAACAGTTTGCAGCTACAGCAACTGCATGTTGACAAGTGGGTACATGCATGCAGGAATATTACCTGTTACACTCAAAATCCTGCAAGTTCAGTGTGTTTCTAGAGGTACTAGAATGCTAACCCCTGTGTCTGCATGTAAGGTCCCAACAATTTTTTTGCTGGGGTGTGTGTAAATGTTTTAATTTTTGGAAGGAATTTCCATTTACAAAAAACACATAGAAGTAATTATTTTTAATATTTTGCATAACTGTCTGTAGAAACTTAATAGGAACCTGGTTCATGATTTACTCTACAATGGGAAGCCTGAAAGAAGATGTGGAAAAGAGGTGCATTTTTTAAATCAGCTGAATCAGATAATGCAAAATAATGATATTGCATTATCAATACAATACCCATGCATTGCCTATTTGATCTTTAAAAAAATATTGAAAAGGACAGACAGTACATCCAATTATCACAGCCAATAGACAATGAGTTAGGTACCTGTTGTTCTGCACTCCTTACTAAAAATAATGTGAAGTGATACATAATGAGAAGCAGAATGGGATCCTGTCAGTCAGCAACATGTAGCTGTGAGCTGCTGCACATCAGTACCAAAGTAAGTGAGAACACCAGGAAAAGAGATCATACCGTGCCAGGTCATGGATGCAAAACTGAATAAGCATCGTGGAAGACCGTGGATTGTGTTTGACTTTTGCATTTAACTCTACTTGGTGGATTCACTGTGAAAAAACCCCAGTAGTCTGCCCCATCTTTCTCTACCTTTCCTTCATGCCTCTGTGCCTTCTTATTAGACATTGCCATATTTCTTCCATTCTACAAGTTGAGATCCTTCACCTCCTTCCTGTATTCCAAAGGATACCCCCATCCCCACCCTGCCAATAGGTCCTTTTGTCTTTATTTTTCAACTCAGAGGTCTTTTCAGTCCGTCATCTCCAGTTGTTTCAGTCCTTTTCTCTGCCAGGCATGCCTTGGAATGATTCTGAGTAGAGAGAATGTATTTTCTCAGCCGGGAAGAGATAATGGATGGCTTCAAATGTATAGATGAGTGTGCACGCAGACAGATGTATCCTATCACCTTTCCTACAGTGAAGTCTCAGAAAAATTCCTAGACTTCCCCCAGAAGACCCCAAAAAACAAAACCAGAATGAGGGCACCCATTTTTGCCATTAAACCTCAGAACCCTCTGCATTACCAGTTTCGCCACCTGATTATATTAACTATTCTGAGCTTACCTTTGCTTGTGGCAAGTTTTTTTTGATCTCTAGAAACATATGCCAGTACAGAGAACAAAAGCATGCTAACCTTCTAGTATACCAGTGCATAGTTTTTCCCTTTTTGTGATCCTTCGTTGTGAAATGATACATCCAGGTGCAGATGGAGCCTCTGTGCCACGTAGCTGCATGGCTCAGCTTGGCCTTTAGAGGCCTCTGGGACAGAGGGAGCCCCAGCTGAAGCCAAGTGCAATGGTCAGTTCAGTTTTGCTTTTGAAGGTGCAGAGGCAGGAACAACTCTCTCTCCCTTTCTTTATAGGTAAATCTTCAAACTAGTCCTGCAGTAAATTCTACTAGTTTAAAATATTGTGGATTTTTTTTTTTTAACCTTACGGTAATGTAAGTTTACCTATGATCAACAGAGAACTTGGAACCTGTTACAGTTATTTTCTTCCTTATGCACGTGGACCTCACCCTTGTGCTGAAGACGACAAACAGGTAAATTTTCTAGCATATTCCTCCTTAGCTGCAGGTGCTTTTGTGCTTCTCTGAACACCATCCCTTTGAGTTAAAATCCTTTGGAAAGGTGTGTGTTTTGCTATGATGAAGTCCAGAATAGCAGTTCTAGCCTGTATTACTGTGACTTAACATTTTTCCTCTGCATCCCCTGTATGTTGTCCAGAAAACGCTTTAAACCAGTCTGGGATCATTGAGTTCCCCCAGACTCTCCAAGTCTGCCCAGAGCCTGAGCTGTGCCGTGGCAACTTTCTTCCAGTTTGGGAATTATACAGAGCTCTCTCTCCATATAACTTTAAGGCATGATCTAGTAGTGTTAACAGCTTGATTCAGTCATTAACAAGAAATTGCAAAAGGACAAGCAAACTACTGCAGATGACGACAAACAGTTTGGCAGGCGGTGGGAAAGGAACAGCTGTGTCATCATATTTTAGGTGAGAGCCTGAGGCAAAGAAAACCCGAGTCCTTCTGAGGCAGGTGAGCAGCACCTGGGAGTTGTTGCTGTTGATTTATTTAACTTGGTGCTGGGCCCCGCTGCACCTGAGGTGAGCTATTCCTAGACTTACACACTCTGCATGTGCAGTCTCTTTTTCTGAGAAAATGGATTTTGAATAATGCTTGAAAATATTCCTTTCCCCAATATTTCTGGTAATGCAAACAGTGAACTAGCAGGTGAAGGTCTGTGTCTCAGGGAAATCTAGGGAAGTGTGAACTATACAAGGACTTGGATAAAAGCTTGTTTTAAGCCAGTAGCTCAAGTAAAAGGACATTTTAACTGAAAGGTTAAAAAGAAACTAAAAAAGCTGTTAATCATGCTCTGCAGGAAAACTGTAGATTAGATTCTCAGGGATCTGGTTCTAGTTCACAGACTTTCACGGGACTTTCAGCCCAGAAAGAAGAGAGGAAGATAGACGTTTGCTTTTCGTGTACAGGCTCCTCAGTGTGGACCAGCTCAGTGGGCAGTGGAGGTTGTCTCTAAAAAGCCAGCAGGATTCCCTCATAGCGGGAAAACAATATTTTGCTGCATTATTTGGATGAAATTGCCCTCTCCTTTTCTTAGAGTAGGTGGCTGATGGGAGGGTGCTTCCATACTGCACCCTGCCCTCTCAGTATTACTGGCTGCTCTCATACATGCTCTCGGGCCAGATGCTGTGGACAGATTCTTGCAGATCTTCTTTCTTACTCTCTCCCTTGTCTGCTCCTCTTATCCTCTGCATTTCTGCAGGTGACATAATGATAGGGGCAGGACAGACAACAGGGCAGCCTGCCTCATCTGCAAATGCATCCATTTACGTACTCCTTATCTGGCCTATATTGAGGGGTTTTTTAATTCATTGAAGTGAAAAGTATCCTTTTTTAGTCTGCTCTTCACTGGCTTTACTCACTCATTTTACATCCATCCAACACAGTTACACTCAAGACTGATCTTTCTAGAGATGTAATTTCTTCACATCAGAAAGCACTGTCAGCATCTTGCTGAATTCCAGCTTTCCAAAAAATGGCAGTTAGTGAGGGCTTAAAATATCTTAGCTCCCTTGAAGAGAATGGAGACTTGAAATCTAAAGAGAATATAGTCACTCCTTAATGCACTCACTGGTACCTATCTATAATGCTATCAAATTAACTCAGCCTGGAGCATAGAGATAGAGCTTGGTAGCACTCAATTTTTATCAGTCTGCTTATTTTAGACAAGCCCAGTGCTGGTCTGAGCTGACAGAGCCTCTAGTTTCTGTAACCATGTGGATAACAGAAGGACATTTCACACAGGTCAATGAGATACAGATGTTCTATCAAATTTTGTTAGAATTTTCTTACATTTCAGAGATGAAAAAAAGGGAGGCTTTGGTGGGAAAAAAAATATTTTACATAATTTGCTGGGATCTAGTGATTCTCTGGGATCGGATAGGATGATCAAATACTGTTTGTGCTTTCTGGGGAAATGAAGGAGGCCCAGTAACCTACCATTTCTCTTGCCCTGTTATTCTGGGAGAATCCTCTGTTTTGGAAACACTGCATCAGTTACATCTAGCCACACTAAGTGCCCTGTTCATTTTTGTTTCTCATATAAATACTCTTCTTCGTTGTGCTACATGGAATAAAATTAAAATAGGTTAATCAGTAACTAATTATTCCAGCAGCAGCTGAACAGTCTCTCATGTGTTCTTAGCTGTAAGTAATCTAAAACCTGTCTTTTGCTTTTACATAGGTACTGATATATTCCATATTGCTGAGTCTTCCAGCAGCAAATGAAGAATATGTATCTGCTCCTCCTTTCCATTTTATATTTGCTTTTGAAAGCCACTGACACCAAAGAGGTTATATTTGGTCATAATCATTTCACAGAATATCAAGTGGGCAACATGAACCTGATTCTCTCTGTCCCACACGGTGGGTCAATGGAACCCAAAGACATCCCTGATCGAGAAGCTGGCTGTTGGGATGCAAAGACATCCTCTTGTCTTTTCGCTCATAAGTGTCTTCCTGGAAGTATTCAAAATTATAAGAAATGCAAAGTGTCTACCAACCAAGACAGGTACACTATAGAGGTGGCTCAGGCTCTTGCTGAAGAAATCAACAAAATTGCTGATGGCTACTTTCCACATATCATTATAAACCACCTACAGAGGTTCAAGATGGATGCTAACAGGGAAAAGGAAGAAGCCTCCTTTGGAATTCCCCAAGCAGAACAGGCCTGGGAGGAGTACATGGGATTTTTGACCACTGCAAAATCGCAGATGACAGGGGGCCTGATTCTGGATATCCATGGACAAGCACATCCTGAACAGTGGATAGAACTAGGTTACACACTTTCAAAAACTTCCCTTAACTCAGGTGTCTTTTCTGTATCGTGTTCTTCAATTAGTCATCTGGCCAGTCAGCTAGTCAATGTGTCTTCTGAGGCTTTGGTTACAGGGAACAGAAGTTTGGGTAAATATATTGAAGAACAAAATAACAGTTATGTTTGTGTGCCTTCTCCATCCAATCCTAGCCCAAATAATGGGAGCTATTATAGTGGTGGATACATAACAAAGACTTTTGGTTCCCGTAGTTCTGGCACCGTTGATGCCATTCAGCTTGAACTACCCCAGTGGGTGAGGGCAGCTGAAGAACGTCCCGGATTTTGTAAAGCACTAGCAAGGGCTGTAATGAAATTCTGGCAAGCTAACTACTGCAGCCAGTACAACCATGAATTTCTGCCATGCTGAAAGAGGCTGTCTTGTTAAGATAGCTTTCCATAATACAGTAATGATCTGGAACAACAGAACAACTGATACACCTGGAACATTTAAGACTACAATATAATTGTGGATGCTGGTGGAAAGAAACTAACCTGCAAAGGAATGCAGAGACATCAACATAGAGAAAATCCACAGCTAATACCAACAAGTCCGTTAACACACAGCTTTGTACTAGATCCAGCGTTGAAAAGACTGCTTGAAGATGAGTGGGTATATTTGGAAGTATCACTTGCCTGGTATGCTTTTCTGTGCTTAATTTCTTTCCAGTAGTGTCCTTGCGCTTAATTTCTTTCCAGTAGCATCCTCTGTCTCTAGCACACAATAAACAACTATTCTTCTTCTAATGAATTCTGTGCAGTGCCTTAGTAGATTATCTGTTGAAAGAAATGAAGTGTGTCTGCTTTTCTTGTGACACTTAAGAAAGACAATTGCATAATAACATTGTGTGAAATGTTTGGGGCCAGGACCAGTTTCCGTTTGGTGTTTATAAAGCCCTAGGAGTTGGAACTCTTCAAGTAAACAGTAATGCTGAGCAATGACATGCAGTCTGAACTACTTCAAGTTTTGTTAATTTAATGAATTATGAAAAAAAAGTCTGAAAGCATTATAGCACCGTAATTTTGTCACAGCTTAAATAGCACAACACTAAGGAAGTAACTGGATGGAAGGCTGCTAAAGACAACACATACATATCATCCATTTTTGACAGTTTTCCTTACAGCACGGTTCCCTCCTGAGAGCTGGTCCATTGATTTCATTCAGCATAGGATTAAACACTTGATTGTTACTGGGAATAGTATTACATTATGGATGGGCTCTTCTGTACAGTGGAGAATATAGTGGCATGAATAGACATGAGTAAAAATCAGCTCTTGGAAAACACGGGCAATTAATAAGGAAAACCAAAGGGAGCAGGCAGCAAGACTGAAAAGAGTAAAACTCAAAAATTAAGAACCTATGAAATCCTAGCAGTGCTAAAAGTTTGGTAAAAAGAAAAGAATGAGTAAATAGTCAGTTAATAAACTGAAGTGGGATATCTGCATCTTGCGACCACAGTAAAATACTTTAGTTCTAGCTATAAATAGGGACAATACCGAAGAGAAAATCTTACACAATTTTAAAACATATAAAACATAACAGCATCAAAAGAAATGAACTCTCTGAACCTGAACTGTTCATTTTTAATACTCTTGGAAGACTAGGCAATTTTCAGGTAACTGGAAGAGAGCTGATGTAGCTATCTTTCAAAGGCAAATAGGACTCAGGGAACTGCAGGGGTGTTACCTTTCATATGCTAACTGCTAAATCATGGGGTGGATGAAGGGAATAATGGAAAATTACACTTTATCTGGTGCCATTTGGTTTGTCAGACAAGCTTGATTTTAGTTTTAATCAAAAGGTTGGTTAATGTGGGTTGACCCTGGCAGATACTAAGCACCTACCCAGTTGCTTGCTTACTTCTCCCAGTGGGATGGGGGAGAGATTTGGAAGAGCAAAAATGAGAAAACTCATGGGTCGAGATAAAGACAGTTTAACAGGTGAAGGAAAGCTGCATGTACAAGGAAAAAAAAATGCCATCCACTACTTCCCATCAACAGGCAGATGCTCAGCCACTTCCTGGGAAGCAGGGCCTCAGCACGCATAATGGTTATTTGGGAAGACAAACACCATAACCATGAGCATCTTGCTTTCCTCCTCTATTCCATGAGCTCTTATTGCTGGGCAGGACATTATGTGGTATGGAATATCTCTGGTCAGTTCAGGTCAGCTGTCCCAGCTGTGTCCCCTCCCAGCTTCTTGTGCACCCCCAGGCTACTCACTGGGGGTGGAAAAAAACACCTTGATGTTTTGCAGGCATTGCTCAGCAGTAACCAAAACACTGGTGTGTTATCAGCACTGTTTTAGTCACAAATCCAGAACACAGCACCACACAGGCTGCTATGAAGAAAATTAGGTTCAATCCCAGCCAGACCCAGTACAGTTGATCTTAATATTATCCCAGCCAGACCTAGTACAGTTGATCTTAATATTTTTAAATATTCTCCCACAAGGTATTTTGCTAAAAAAAAAGTAGTATTACCCCAAAATCCATCATAGCCCTATAACAAGTTGAAAACAGGTAAATCATTGCAAGTGATTGTATATCAGCTCATCAGAAGACAGTCTTTACAAGAAGGCCAGCAGATCAAGCACCGTTCATTACCAGTAATATAGAAAACCTGCTATTTTCCCCAGAATAGTAGGTAATAATGGCACTAGTTACATGGATTATCCTAAATAGGTGACACACTTGGCAAGGATTTGTAACTTTAGCCAGACAAAGGATGATAGAATATGTATTCTATGACCTGTGTCATGTCATGACACTGTCCTGGAATGCTGAAATGCCAGGGAGGATTCAGGGAATCATGACAGATAATTAATTGAATATGAGCTCAGCATGCACTCTTCTGGCTTAGAGGATGAACATGCTCTTTGAAAGCATAAGCAAGGAACTAACAGGCAGAAACAGCAGGGCATATTAACTCCTTGTTGCATATCTGATGCTTGTAAGACTGTGAGTACAAAATGGAGTTCTGAGGCAGACACTTAAAAAAAAGGTAACCGTGATGGAAAGAGATAAAAAGGCTACAGAAATCTGCCTTGTAGTGAGAGACTCACAAAGCTCAAGTTAACTTTGCTATCAAGAGTAATTGGGAGGCTGATAGAACCTCCTGGGTAAAGGAGAACACCGTTTGTGTTTTGCTTCTGCCTTCAAAACAGCTCACAGAGCGCAAGGTGTAATTTCTCTGTATCACACTCCCATGAGTTTCTGTATCATAGGGGCTTTTTGGGAGAACAGAACCAGAGGCCCTGGGGACCATCTGCAGGGATACTGGAGCCAGACCTGTGCAGGACCTATTGGAGCTGACAGGGCTTGTTAGTCCAAACCGAGTGCCATGTTAGTGTAACACGCTGCTTCCAGACCTAAGCTGGCTCCTGAAGTTGCAGTGCGCTGCCCCCCAGCTAAAATGCCCAGCCTGCTCCTTACTCTGATCTCGGACAAGTTGACTGAGTCATGGAGAGCGGACACTGACTTCTTTGATTAAGAAGAATAATCTCTGGAAAGGATTTTTGATGGCTGATGAAGCTTAATCTGGCAGAAAAAAGGCAGCATAATATCCAATATATGAAAGTCCAAACTCGACAAATTTGGAGCAGAGAGGAAACCTGTGGTTTTGACATGGAGAGTAACTGGCAGCAAATGTACATTAAGAACCCTAGGATGCTCCCTTCAACTGGAAACCAAAATAGTAACACAAACAGGCATTTGGCTGTTCTCTGCCTTGTGCCACCCAGAAGGTTAGATTGGATGAACAGCCAATCTCTTTTGGTGCTAAAATTCATACATCTTTCTGTCAGAGTGTAAAATCCATTACTGATTATTGAAGTTCCTGCAGCATCTTCCCTAAGGAAGCAGATGTCTAATCTGAGATGTCAGGCAAGAGTGTTTTCTTTTACATAATATATACTACACTGGTCCTGGTTAAGATCTTTGTCTCAGGGCCATAATGAATTCTTAGACGTTGAATGGGCTACCCACTGATTGCAACAGGAATGATTTTTACATAAACCCAAGATCCCTTCCCCTTTTGCCATGTGCTTTCCCAAGGAGAAGGGCAGCTCATTGTACAGCACAGGATGAAAGATGCTGCTCAATATGATACTATTATTACTTGTGCTAGTTAAAGATTTGGATTTCCTATTTAGATGAAAATAGAGAATAAAGCATAAGAAAAGCAAAGTTGTCTGACATTACTGTGCCACGGAAGAAGGGACAAACCTATGTATTAGTTTCTTAAATGTTGGTGAGGAGATAAATTTCCAACATTTGCCAATTCTCTTCCAGTGCTATCCAAAGGTTCAGTTTTAGATTAAGGGTTCAGGGTCCAATCACAAAAACAAGGAAGATGTTAAGTAGGTTTTAGCACATCCTAGAGGGGAATAGTTTAAGACTTTCAATTAAAGCAAAATCCACCAGAATTACATTGTTACTAACCTCTCATTAAGTAAACAGCCACTGGCAACTGCTGAAAAGGAGTATGATTTCTGATCACCCTAAAATATGCTGAGTAACTTTTACAAATTTTAGTCTTGTTTACAACAGTTCAGTGTAAGGAGTTCGTATTGAATCTCAATAATGATAAAATAATGCTATTACACTTGCACCTTCATTACACCCTGAATCATACATTGACCTTCCTTCAAACACTTCTACTGTGCCCTAGGCTTGGTTTGTACTATGTAATAAAAATGATGAAAATAATTGGGATCAATTGAGTTGACCTATAGTGGTTTTTACTTTTTTAAATCTGTATAGCTAAGATTTAAACTAATGCAACAAGGGATCAGGATTTTGTCCATAAACCTGAACTGACAGGCAGTAAATTGATCAGAAAAACTAATCTAAAAAAATTTTATCAAAACAGATTTTCCCTACCGTGACATGTTAGTGCATTGCCAAAACAAAGTAGCATAAACCAGAAGGAATCTGAGCTGCTGAAAATGATTTTTTGGTGTAATATGGCCATTTCATTCTGTTAATCGTTCTGGTTAAGGCATCTTCTGAACAAACAAAAATATTGGCACTAAAAGTTATTGGAATGATAATTCGGAAGACTTGTCTGCATAGCATAACCAAAACTATTGCAAGGAGCTTTGCTTGGTTTTTGCTTTTTCTGTTTCTGTAATTATGTTTAATTAACGTGAAGTTAGCTCAGCTGAAAATAGTGCAGTTAAAGATGGCATATTCTATGATGCTGTGACCTAAATCCAGGTATCTTTAAATAGGGCTGTTTCTCATTATTTGAATGTAGTTCTCAGTCTTCCTTCTGTCTTATCTCCACATGATTAACAAGGAAATCTAAATGTTTCTGGAAGAAGACATTTGACTAGGATACTGTGGCATATGTGTGCTACCTATGGAACATCCCATCAACTCTTTACCTATCCAAGGACATCAAAGCTCCTGAAACATGAGAGACAGGTTAAAGCAGTACCTCTGGAATAACGTTTCTTGTTCCTCAGAGAAGTCTGTATGTCTAGCAAAAGAAGAATTTTTGCAGATTTATGGCTCTGAATCTTTAAGCAGTTAATCATAGTAAGGTGCTTTTCCTTCGTAGCCGCCAAAAAGTGGAGTGAGATGGGCTTTTCTGTGAGTATCTTGTTATAATCATACACTGGCTTTATTAGAATTTTTTCTCTGCATGAAGGACTGGAATAGAAGTAAAGTTTTGATTTCTATATGTTCTACTTAATAATGAAATGTATTTAAATATAACAGAAAAAAAACAGAGAAAAAAATTGAAATAAGGAACTTGCTAATCCACTTTCCTGAAGACGGACACTATGTTTATTTGTCTTGACCTTGTTCTCCACTGAAACCTGTCTCCATTGTCCATCCAGTGGGACTGGACATCTCAGCTTTGTTCCACTGAAGACCTTTAAAAAATAAATTGCAAAATTTCAAGAACTAATTAATATAGTCAGGTGAACAGACCACTTTGATAGCGTTTTGTAACAGCACAAAGTTATTTGTTGTGCATGTAGCTCACAGAAAAAGCCTGATCTCATTTTATTGTAAATCCATTGCAGTGCCATTGGCTTCAGTGTAGTTGCTCCTAACTTGCCAAGGCACAAGACCCCCTGTATTTTATTTTCTTCTTCTGGAAGAAAACGAAACATAGATTTCCAAGGCACATTAATGGTCAGATGAATAGCATATGTGCCAACTATTTGAACATTGTGCTCCCGAGTTTTTTGTTTTCTGAGATAATGCTGCATATACAAGCATTAAGTCATGTATATTTGAGTGCAGAGTACCCTATTCATCCCACCTAACTAGCCATCTAGATGTTAGGAGTCTCATCCAAGCTAGTTCTCTAGGTACCCTCTATAGTTAGAGATCAGCACCTCTGCTAGCGGTGATTCTTTCCATCCTATGATAGGTGGGATAGACAAGGCTGCGGACTTTCTGGTCTTTCTCCATAGAAGAAACAACCTAGGAAGCCTTGCTAGACAGCTTGCGATAAATCATATCAATAGTACCCATAAAACAGTATTAACTTACAATTGCCAAAGCTTTGTGCAGCTAAGAATCAATAGCTTTTGGGCTGGCTAAAAGAGTCAAGTCTGAGCAAAAGGTTAATGACATGAGGTTGAACAGGAGAAGTAAATGTCTGGAATACTCACTTGGCGGCATGCTCTCTTCAACTGGCTTCCCAAGCTTCCACCAAATGGAGAATGGAGTTGGATAGGTAGTAATGCAAACCATGTTAGAAAGTTAAATCGAGAAGCAGACAGTTAACAATAGAATGTCAGAGTACATGATGGTAATAATTTACTAGTGCTAATGGCTTCTGGTGTATGAATGCCACCGCAAAAGGTAGAAAAGAAAGCACTGTGCTTACCTCATATATAGGAAGAGACCCAAATACTGCCCCAGCCTCTCTGTTTCCAGACTCAAAACTTTCCAAAGGTGTTCTATGGATCTGACCAAGGGAAGTCAAAGTCAGTGCATTACTAGCTGAAGGCAAAAGGTAATGAAAACATTACTTCTGTTATTGAATTGCATGGTAACATTCAAGTTATCTGGAGAAATGTATATCATTACTATGTAGAGAGATTATGGTTTATGCACAGGTTTTCTTTGTACCAGGTAAAGGCTGCCTTGAACATTTTTTTAAATTAGGAGGGGATCATTCTTCTGCTATAGAAAATGCATAACCAGCAAAATTCCAGCTTCCCAAGGGACACAAAATCAAGACAGTTAACAGCAAAATGCTTTTTATCACCTAAGTTAAAGCTAATTTTAAACACTTACTTAGTTCTCTCATCTATTAACACCTTGAATAAACTCAATAAAGGAATAATTTTCAGGGTACTTGTCAGGTTTGTTGGATGCATGCTATCAGAGGACAGTGGAAGTCTAGCCAAGGGGTAATGGAGTAAGAATTCCTTCCCAGTTGACAGCTTCATCACAGAGCTGTCAGTCTGGCTATTCTTCTGTTGGGCTTTGCAAATCACAAACACTTCAGCAGCCAGTTGGGAAAGATACAGATGAACAAGACATTTCTGCTGTTAACTGTTGAAAGCTTTGAATTTGCGAAAAATACCTCAAGTATTTTGACAGTTCATCCACACTCACATGAATCCTGAGACTTGATATAGCCGTGATTTCACCCTAGGAGGCCAATTTATGGTCCTCCAAAAAGGAAAAAAATGCACCTACAGCTTGAAATATTGCAAAGAACCCTCATTTCCATCAAATTTGAAAACACGAGTTCAATTTGAAATGGTACATTATACAGAGATTTTCTACTTACATTTTTTCATGGTCTTATTAATACATTACTGAGTGTGCTGCAGTAATAACAGTTTAAGAGATAACACATCTTCAACAATGTAAAAAATTCCTAAAGGAATCTGTTCCAGTGTCTGTCTGTCAATTCTAAGCATTACTCATGTGCATTAATTACTAGGCATAACCCATTTCAGAAAGACAGGACAACTGAATTATGGTGAGCTAATCATATACTCTAGGTGTTTGCACAGCCACTGAATAGCATACCTGTAGTCTGAAGTGCAAACCAAAGTCCACTGGTTTGTTCTGCTCTAAGGCAAATGATAGGAAATCAAACATTTTTCTCATCAAAAGCTCAGTCAGAAGGGGACTCCAGTGCTTACGTGTATCAAGTGTCTTCTGCTATGAGACCTCCAGTGAGTCCTCTTTTCAAATGACTAGGTAAAACCCAAAGCAGAGCCCACCTCTACTGACTTGTCCCACAAGGTACTCAACCACTGACTTTGCTACAGTAAATTTCATGTTTTATACCCAGCATCAACATATTTTTCCCACTAACACTGTTCTTTATTACACAGTGCTGTATCTACAGCTGTTGAACAGCAGGGGACCAATGATCAATTGCCGTTACTTCGTAGTGCATGCTCCAACAGCACAAAAGCAGCTATATCAGTTTCCCTGTAATTTAAACAAAGGCCACTGGAGATTGTGCAGCATCAGTGACTGGTATAACTGACTTAAGGGAGCTCATCAACTTGTTGCTGCCTTGGGGTGAAATGACAGAATGCCTCAAAACTGCATGTTTGTCTACCTTTGCTTAGCAGCAAGTAATCCACTAGCTTCAAATAGTCAAGCACCCAGGCGAGATGAGAGCTGATCTTGTATCCTTGGTGTCCCAGTAAGCAAGTGAGAAAGGAAGAACATTGAGAGCAGCCCTGCCAAGAAGGACTTGGGGGTACTGGTGGATGAAAAGCTGGACATGAGCCGGCAATGTGCGCTCGCAGCCCAGAAGGCCAATCGTATCCTGGCCTGCATCAAAAGAAGCGTGGCCAGCAGGAGGGGGGAGTGGATTCTGCCCCTCTACTCTGCTCTGGTGAGACCCCCCCTGGAGTACTGCGTCCACCTCTGGGGTCCT